GAGTCAGTGAAAACCAGATGTCAAAAATTGTCTACGACCGTAGCAATAATTCCTGGTGGTTTGACAAAAATCTTACAACCATTAGATTTGTCAGGTAATAAATCTTTCAAAGCTGAAGTCCGAAAGCGGTGGGAGTGTTGGATGAGTGAAGGATTGCATACGTATACCAAAAGCGGCAAAATGCGTAGAGCATCTTATGAAGAAGTTGCAAAGTGGGTAGGAAGTGAGTGGAAATCGGTAAAGACATCGTCAATAATAGCAGGATTCAAAGAAGCTGAAATTATATCTTTAGATAAAGAGACTGTAAACCAAGAGGATGAATGTGACGATCTGGAAGACTTAGATCAGGATTTACTAAATCTTTTTAATTCAGAAAGTGAAGAATCAGATTTTGATGGCTTCATATGATGTATAGTTTGCTGTAATTCCTTTTGTAAGTAAAATTTCCTTTTGTAACCCAAATTTAATAGTTCGTTGTTGCAATATTTTTTATAATATAGTCTGAGTATTACAATATGGACTTCTTTAGTGGGTGTATATAAGTATATTCGTGAACGTAAATATATTTTCAACATTTCTTACCTTTAATTTATTTGAATTATGATTTCATTTCATGCATTTTTCTTAACTTATATGTCATATATCAAGACATAGATTGAGATTTTGCATCTGTACGGCCCACGACGATGTCACGCGCAATTAGATCTATTGCGACGTTTCTGTGTAATTTTAATTTTTTTCGCCATTTTACTCGAGTGCGCCGTTTACACTGATGCGGCCTTTCTTCCGGATATTACGGTAGATACATCATTGTCTGACGCCAACCTGGTGAATCATTATTTATTATGCTTTCCTTTCATCACTGCATGTTTATCAAAACATGACAACGTGAGTAATGACTCATGTAGCAATCCCTAAACAATTTTCTTTATGTTAGTAATTGAATAATAAAGGAGTATGGCAACCTTTTATGTTGACATTATGCTTGGCGATGATTACAGATTTAAGTTAAATGCACTAAAAAATGATGACGAGGGAAAATTTACCAAAAATTTCTATTCTTATGCTAAAAATAGATTTTGTTGAAGATACTCATAGACCCAAAGATTACATTTATGGCTATTTGAATTAAAAATAACTGATTTGTTATTCACATAAACCCAGAACCAGTGCCAGGGCTAGTATGACCGCATAGAGTTGCAGAATTTAGGACCCACAAAGACTGCATCAGGTGGTAAGATAGCTAACGCCGACCCTCAATAATGTTTAAGTATATGTGGGAATTTATTTATTCAGAACTCTGATAAGCCTTAAGCATGTGTAAGAAATAGACATTAGTATAATAAATAACTAAACAAACTAATACATTTCAGGCTTAACCCTCTGACTGCTCAATTTGTGGACCGAAATCGCTTTAAAAATTGTGCAATTTTTTTTTGCATATTTTAAATCTGTATATATTGGAGAATTGAAAAATGCATTTTTCCTTTCTAGAAAATATTTTTTTATATAAATTTTTATCATGAGAAACTAAGTTGCCAGATGAACCAATTTCAGATGTTATCACCCCCCAAAAAATGTTTTTTATATAAATTTCACTCGAATTACAGTCCATTTCTATTTATGGATAATATAAAAAAGAAAAATATATAAAATTTAAGAAAATATAAAGCACTGAGGAAAAAATACCGTAGAAATGCAGTTTAGTATAATAGAGTTCAAAACAAGGACTTCCAACAATGTAACTGAACAAGAAATTATGTCTATCTACAGAATTAAAGAGAAAGCACCAAAAGCGGAGTAACTTAGATTGAATGAAATGTTTAATAAGATAAACAAATAAATATTAAGCTTTTTTTTTGTAAATTTTGATCCCCGTTAGATCATAAATATTTCATTATTTCATAAATCATGATTTCATATTTTTAATTTTATAATATCTACATGCCATCTTACTAGATTTAAGCTGATGATCTAGTGTCAGGAAAAATTCCCAAATCTGGTATCGCCGAAGTCCCGACGAGTCCGGATTTCGGACTTTGTACTGTATAGTGCTACAAGGAGATGTAACTCATCTGAAAAATTGAAAAATGAATCATCTGAAAAAGTATGTTGCTTTTTTGAAGTTATTATATTTTACTATTTAGATAATATATAAAAAAGAGAATAAATACCAAGAATCGCCCTTCTCACAGTTTAAGCCCCTTTTTAATTTTTTGTAAATATAGATTTTAATAAAGTACAATGTCCAAGATCCATACTTGTAGGGATTTCCACGATTCCGGATTTGGTATTTTTCTGGATTTTAGATCATCAGATTAAAGCTAGTAAGATGTCATGTAGAAATTATAAAACAAAAAATATGAAATCGTGATTTATGAAATAATGACACTTTTATGATCAAAATCATAAATGCTTCAGCATTTCAAGAAAGGGTATCAAAATTAAAAAAAAAAAGCTTAATATTTATTTCTTTCCTTTATTAACATTTCTTTCAATGCAAGTCGTTTAAGTTGCTTTGTTTTTTGTGCTAATACTTTTTCTTTAATTCCATAGACAGACATAATTTCTTGTTTAGTTACATTGTTGAAGTTCTGTAATTGCTGTTTTGAGAATTCGGAATAACTTGTGAGTCAAAATTTTTTCATTTGCAGTAAATTCTCTCACTTTGCTATCTGTAGCAGTATTTTCTTGATCTAGAACCATGCTACAGATTGTGCCATCCATTAATTGATTGATGATTGAGGAGTATTGTCGTCACAATGAAAATCTTCTTTTATATCATATTCATTTATTACAGCTTCTCCACATTTCTTTACAAAATCCTTTAATTGGAAAATTTCACCTATGGTTTGCAAAATCTGAAAACCTTTAAGATTTGCGGCTATCATCATAAAATTCAGCTAGTATCATGAGATTGGCCACTAAAGACAAGTTGTTCCCTAAATTTTATCTTGCTTCTATCGTGCTCTGAGACAGTTAAGCCTGAATTGTATTAGCTTAGTTATTTACTATACTTATATCTATTTCTTACATATGCTTTAGGCTTAACTAAGTCCTGAATAAATAAATAAATTCCCACATATACCTAAAGCTTATTGACGGCCGGCTTAGTGCTGGTTGCAGTCTCTGCAGTGCTGTGTTCGAAATTCTGCTACCAAGCACCTCCCTTTGTCTCCCCTAAATTCTGCCGCCTGGTGCTGGTTTTGGGTTTATGTGAAAAATAAATCAGTTATTCTTAATTCAAATAGCACTAAATGTTATCTTTTTCCCTATGAGTATCATTAAGAGAATCTATTTTTAGCATATGGAAAGAAATTTTTGTTAAATTTTTCCTCGTGAATATTTTTTAGCGCATTTAACTTAAATCTATAATCTTTGTCAAGAGTAATATCAACACAAAAGGTTTCCATATTCTTTATTATTCAATTACTAACATAAGAAAATTGTTTAGGCTTCACTACTTGAGTCGTTACTCAAGTTGTCTTGTCTTAATAAACATGTGGTGATGAAATCAAAATATAATAAATAATGATTTGTCAGGTTTTTGTCGGGGATCTAAAATATTAGTAGGTGTAAAATCAACGATGTATCTTTGTAGAATGTGTTGGTTTGAGATGTATATCAAGATGATACGGTTTGGAGCCAAATTCTTGATTATGCAAAATTTAGTGCTGCCATTTAGAATCAAAAGAAAATACTAAAAGCTTACAATTACAGCTTTTGGTGTATAAAAATTAGCGTTAAATGGTAGGATTATTTTGATTTGTTAAAAGTATAATTATAGAAACTAGTATATTTTTTATGAACACTTTGTGCTTGAAACAGTATTCTTAAATTTGGCAAATTTTTTTGTAGGCAGAATAGATAATTTGAAAACTTAACTTTGTTCCTTCATAATTGTTTAACTTGGGAATGGTATTCTTTGACAAACAGTAATGCATAACTTTATAAAAATTTAGTGCTATGGAATTAAATTTCATAACATCCATCTGAGTTAATTTCTTAATTCATCTACATTCCTTATCTGACTGCTAGAAAAATTTTTGGTTTACGTATAAATGGTATAGTTTCAGAATAACAGGATGAATTTTGCATTCTTCTTACAGTTTACAGAGCAAGGCAATTCAAGCCGACATACTCAGCTAATGTGGTGCATTTTGTCAAAGGTGTGGAATAAATTGTGCTTGGAGTTGCATACTCATTAAAATATATATTTATACTGTTAACCTAAGTGTTAATTTTAGCGCCAGTGTTATATACATTATAAAGCTGGTCACTTCCTCTATATATCTATTAATTACTTTAGGCCTTATGTTGCAGTTTTGATGGTGATATTTTACAGCTTTTCTTAAAATAATTCTAATTATACAGACTATAAAATTTCTAAGTGAGTATTGAAAATCAGTTTTATAGGTATATGGAATCACAAAAACAATCATTTCAATCGCTCTGTTGATATAGTACTGAAAACTTATACAAGTAATGTTTTTATCAAAGTAAGTTTTATAATATGGAAAGGAAAGTATATGCATATAACTCAAACATCTCTAGCAGTAATGAAAGTAAAATACATTTCAGATAAGAAGTATAAGAACTTTAAACTGGAAAATGTTTTTCTTTGTAATTAATGAATGAGCACTCATTTTGGATATATTTTCTTTGTTCTTATTACAAAAGTTTTACACAAATGCATAATTTAAATTATTACAGATTACCTTCTTTATTTTAGACATGTACATTTGTACTTTAATGATAATAATAAACTGCAGAAATTGCTGTCTTCCACTTTTTTTACTGTTTGTGTTAGCAGATAATATTGAAGGTTTTTTACTGTTTGTGTTAGCAGATAATATTGAAGGTTTAACTGTGGCAGATTATCAAGTCATTAGTTGCTGATGTCTTCTTTTTTCTTGTTTGCCCTTAAATTAATCTTTATAGGAGAAAGTATTTTGCCATTTGTTTCTCTTAATTATACCCCAAAATGTTTTAATTTTTAGGCATCAAGCCGAGTTAAGCTGTTAGTCCGAAGCCATGCTGTTCACGATGATGCATCTCCTCCACCTGACCTCGAGACTGTCATTGCAAATACTAATATGCTGAGTGTCACAAATGCATCATCTTTCTCCACACAGGTTTGTATATCATTGAAAGCATTTGTATTTAATAATTTTTCCATATCATGAATTGTTTAGTTCATCATTTAGTACTAACTGTCAGTTGCTTAGAAGCAGATCCTTTTACAGCACTGCAAATTCTTTATCCTTCAAAATCACTGACATTGTGGACTAAGCTAGCTTGAGATCAAGTCCAGTCACATTTAACTTTTCTCCGCCATCATATTACTTAATATTTCATGTTCAAACATATCATCATTTGTTTTTCTTTTTTTAGCTTATTGATTCCTAGGCAATGTCAGTTTTCTCTTAAGAGTCAATTTATAGATTAGCCCTTTCCGGCATGGTGTGCCCAGTTTCGGCACATCCAAAAATTCCTTCTCTCGCCCACAAAAATTTAATTGAAAAGAGGCTACTATTGATTACTTTTAATCTTCTTATACTAGATACCAGTGCAACACACACCAGGCCATACATTTTAGCCATCTTTAGCTATTAAATACCCTCATTTTCCATAAAAATATTCCAGATTGACAAGTTGACAGTCTGTCGTGGCTTCACCTGATCTTTCACTGTCGGACCATTTTACTTTGAAGAACCATGTCCCATATCTGGCTGGAAAACGTGCACACTAACTGCTGAGCTTTATTTCATTCTTTAGCGTGAAAGTCATGCCTGCATTAAATCAAAGAGGTGTGTTATCTGTTACAAGCTTTATGCAGGATGGCGCACCACCACACTAAGTGAATCCAGTAAAACGATTTATATTGAGTAGTACCTTTGGTGAAGACAGAGTGATCAGTCGAGGTGGCAAGATCACATGGCCTCCACGATCACCCAACCTCACTCCGATCCATTTCTGGTTGTGGGTCTACTTGTGTACCATTCATTCCCTTTAACATTGGCCAAACTCAAATATTCTATCTGTTGTAAGTTTTTTGCAGTTCATTCCAATATGTTGCATTCAGCTGTAACAGGCATTGTGAATCGCTTTAATTATGTCGTACAATGTTCTGGAGGTCATGTGAACAGTTGTTATTGAAAGAATAAATGAATGGAGCATATTGTTTTCATGTTAGTTGTGTTTCAGGTTGTCAGAGCCCTTTACCGGTGACATTTGAAGCAAAATCTTTTTACTAGTTTACTAGTTTTACCTAGTAGCCATTATGACATTGCATTATGACCACCCTGTTAATAACATGTGGGGCCACTGTTATTAAATTTAAGTTTGTAGATGACGCTGCTATTATGAATGCAGGTTTATTAAGACAATCACGTGACTACTCATGCTTTGGATTCGAGCATAGATATTCTGTTTATTTTTGCTGGATTTGCAGTGCGTTTTTTTTTTTTTTTTGCTTGAAAATAAAATCACATTTTAATACAGTCCATTGCTTGTTGTTATTTATCCGCATCATATCGCCATATTTATTATTTTGTCCCGTTTCACTGGAGAATATATGAATTTTTTGGAAACAATAATTCCTTTTACTCAATTTTTATTTCGTACACTACGAATGCTGCATAAGCCATTTTTAGTACTGTCGATTTGTAGATTTGTTTACAATGCTTCGCGTGTTTTCATTTGGGTTTTAATCTCTGCAACAAAAATTCATTTGTCATCACCTAATAGATACGTATTTTTCGTATTAATCAAAGAATTTTGATGCTGTGGACTGTTGCTGAATCATTTGAAAGAACATATCTGCTGTATCAGAGTAAGTCAATTTTACATTTTTCATAATGGATATGAAATCACTGTTAGTAAAGAAATGAGTTGCTAAATGCAATTTAATGAAATTGAAAGATAAAATTAATCCTGAGATTGCTAAAGCCGATGAGGCAAAAATTGAACTTTTTAAAAAGAATTTGAATATTTTAAGTGCAGATGTTATACGTAATTTTGATAACATTTATGTAACATGCAAGGAAAAAGAAGTTGAAACCTATGGTTTACGAATATCAAATGGTTCAAAATACGATTGATGATCTCTATTTGGATTTAGAACGAAAAGGTTCTCGTCTTGATAATGTTAGTTCAGTTAGTGTTAAATCAGATACTACAGAAGTAAAACTTCTGAAATTAACTTTACCTACCTTTAATGGAAATTTAGATCAATGTCTTACATTTAACAGTATTTTTAAGGCCAGTGTACACAATAATGTTAAATTATCAGGCGCTCAAAGGCTTCAGTATCTTAAGAGCTCTTTTAAGCTGAAGCTCTGAAAATAATTCAAGCTATACCTATTTCAGATTTAAATTATAAAATTGTTTGTGGTTTACTCGAAGTAAGATTTTCGAATAAACGTAAACTGGTGGATTTATTAAGAAGCTTATTACTCATCCAAATGTTTCTGTTTCAGCGGACCCTATTTTGAATCTTGTCGACGTCACTAATGAATACATTCGTTCCCTAAATCTTCTAGAACAAAGGCTTTGGTGACACATTGGTAACTCGTTTACTTGTAGAAAAATTTGGATAAAAATACACACATTTGGTATGAGAGATACTTAAAAAGCGATCAACTAGGAACATTAAACGTTTCTAAAGGAACATGCTAGAACACTTCACAACAGTAAAACCAATTTGAAGGGAAGAAGGATGAATTCTAAAGTAACATCTTTGGTTTTAGAAGTTACTACAAATTGTCCTTATTGTAAGAAAGATCATTACTTATATAAATTTGGTCAATTCGGTAAATTGCCTGTTGGCAAGTGATTCAACTTTGTGAAGTTTAATAAACTTTGTTTTAATTGTTTATCTAATTTGCATAATGTTAAGGCTAGTAAAAGCTTGAGTAGATGCAAAACGTGTCTCAATAATCATCATTCATTATTGCATTTCACAAAATCTTGAGATCTATCAGTAGCGGATTTTATCTGCTACTGATAGTAATGGAAATACATTGTCTGTTCATGCAAGCGTCATTACTCCTCAAAATATGAGAGAAAATACAATCCCATATAATGTTTCTAAAAATTTTAATCAGGTACACTCTATTGTGAATAGTGGAACTATAAACAGGCAAGTTTTGTTGTGCACTACTGCAATTAAAGTACGTCACGCACTAGGTAATTTCGTACAATGTCGAGCCTTGTTGGATTCTGGCTCACAGGCAAACTTCATTACTGAGAGTTATCTTTCAAAACTTCGTCTGAATAGAAAAAAGACAAAGATCCAGATATCATGGCTAGAATCAACCACATCTCAAATAAATGGAGAACTGGAGATTACTTTCTCCCCTCTTTTTGGTTCAGAACCTTCCTTTACAACTTCTGTTTTTGTTATAGACAAGGTTATCTCGAAGCAGTTCTGGAAAAAAGTTCTGTCGAAATCCGAAGTAAGGTGGGAGGAACATTTTAAAACTTCGCTGAAAAATCGCTGACGAACATAGAATATTCCAAGTAAAATGGGAATTAGAATATTTTTGCTGAGAAATAAAAGATAAAATAATCTGCTTGATATGTAATAATACTATTAATGTACCAAAGTTATATAATATTAAACATCATTACGAACAACACAAATCGAAATATAAAAATTACGAAGGATTAATGAGAGAAGGAAAGTTGAAAGAGCTCAAGTTAGGAGTGAAAAAGCAACAGTCCATGTTTAGTAAAGTATGCAAGAAAGTGAAGCGGCGGTACATGCAAGCTATGTCTTCTCCGAGTTGATAGCTAAACATTTGAAGCCTTTTACTGACGGTGATTTCATCAAGGAATGCCTAATGAAAGCTGGAGAAATTGTTTTGTCCTGGAAATTGTGAAGGCTTTTTCAGTCAATTTTCATTGTCTCGAAATACAGTTGCGGAAAGAGTTACTGATTTAGCCGCGAATTTAAGTGATCAGATCAAAGCAAAATCACCTAGTTTCGAAAGTTTCTCCATTGCCTGTGACGAGAGCACGGACATTAGTGGCAAAGCTCAATTAGTTGTGTTTCTTCGTTCTTGTGACAAGAATTTTAACAGTTTTGAGGAATTACTGGAACTAATACCGATGCCTGGTACTACCACAGGAGAAGATATATTTACTTGTGTTTTTGGACTTCTGCAGAAATACAATCTACCTTTCGCAAAATTAAATTCTGTAGCTACAGATGGTGCTCCATCAATGACCGGGAAAAACAATGCCTTCGTAGCATTACTAAGAAAAAACCTTAGTGAAATTCACGGTTCAAACATTCATCATATGCATTGTATTATACATCAAGAAGTTCTATGCATGAAAGTAATAAATATGGAGAATGTTTTGTCATATATAAAAAAAGTTATAAATTTTATAAGATCTCGAGGTTTAAATCAGCGTCAATTCACTGCTTTCTTAAGTGAGTTAGATAGTGAATATTCGGGTTTGTCCTACTATACCGAGGTATGTTGGTTATCTTGCTTCCAAGATTCTCAAACAATTCTGGGATTTGAAAGAAGAAATATACCAGTTTTTAAAAACGAAAAATCAAGACGTAAGTTTGTTTTACGATCCAATATGGATACAAGATTCTATCTTTCTTGGTTGATATAACCAAAACACTTAACCGATTTAAATTTATCGTTACAAGGAAAAGATCATATCATTACGAACATGTTTGACATAAATTAAAGCATTCAAATGTCAACTAGTTCTTTCGGGAAAAACAACTTAAAAATGAAGATTTGACACACTTCCCGATGTGCAGCATGAACAAATCAAGTTAGATGATACTTGTTCGTATCAAAAATACGCAGAAAAATTGCAAATTTAACAACTGAATTTGAAACGAGGTTTAATGATTTTAGTTCCCTCGAAGACAAATTTTTTTTGTTTTCTTCGATTTTCTCAATAAGTATTGACTCAGTACCCAGCCATTTGCAAATGGAGGTGATCGAGATTCAATGCAACTCAAATTTGAAAGCAAAATTCATTGAAGTGGGCGTGCCTGAATTTTACAAATATTTACCAGCCAGGTTTGAAAATACTTGAAAATTCGCATATGAAATTATTTCCATGTTTGGTAGCACTTATCGGTGCGAGCAGTTATTTT